CTACAAGATTCTCCTTCTCACCTTCAAGGCCATCCATAACCTCGCCCCTCACTACCTCACAGATCTCCTTCACATTGTCACCTCGTCCCGTTCCCTCAGGTCCTCCTCCTCCATTCATCTCTCTGTGCCCTCCTTTCGTCTCAGCACCATGGGGAGTAGAGCCTTCAGCTGCACTGCTCCCAAACTCTGGAACTCCCTTCCCCCTCTCATCAAGAACATTTACTCATTCACAGAATTCAAAAAACAACTCAAAACTCACCTCTTCATAACCCCTTATCAGCTTTGAATTTTAGAGTGCCTTGTTTGTTCATGTTTACGTATGTTTACTTACTGAATGATTTGTGTTTTTATTCTGTACAGTGTCCTTGAGTGCAAACCTTGTACAGATTGGTGTCCCCCTGTGATGCCACCCCAGTGCCGCTAGGTGGCCTAGAGTGTTGAGCTGGGAAGGCGGAATCCTCTTCCTCCTCTTCCATGTCCAAGGCGAGGAGGTCTGAGTTCGCGTCACCTTCAGCTTCGTCATCACCTGCATCGAGCAGCCCGCAGTCAACCAGCCCCTCGAACAGAGGTGGTAGCGGGGGCTCCTCTTCCATCATATCTGCCCAGCTTGTGGAGGCTCACGGCTGATGGTTGTCACCTGCATCCACAGGCATGGCCAAGCCAAGGCCTGGGTCCCGGCCTTTATCCACTGCCACTCTAAGCCTCCTTTCCCTTATCTTCTCCAGCATGGAGGAGCAGTGAGGGCATGTCTGCGGGTTAGCCAGCGATGCCTGGGCGTGAGCCGCACCCATACACGCTATGCACATAGGATACGGGTCCCTGCCTGACATGGAAGCCCAACAAGACGCCGGGCACAGGCGGGATGCATCCTCTTTAGCCTTTGGTTCCAACCCGTCGGTCGGGGTAGGTGTGGAAGCCATTGCTGAAAATCCGACTCGCTGTGACATGTTAGTCTAAAAGACCATTAGCAAGCTAGTTAGCAGACGTAAGTCTGCAACTAAAGCTCTATTTTATATGTAGGGCAACTTGTCGTGACACGTTATGCACCAAAGTAGCTCATTAGCAAGTAAATGTTAAATAAGCTAAAGACAAGCTCACCTTAACGCGTTAGCTTGAGCTATACTCGCTAATACTACTCCGTCAATTATGTAGAGATTAACTACATACTAGAATCAACACTGTTTGCTCTCAGTTGTTAATTCTGAGAATGACCGAGCATATTAGCATATGAGCTTATATCATGTATAAATATCCAAGATACTTATATAATCAATAGAACCTCATACACCAATTGGCTAATGGCCAACTATCTACATCTGAATGAGGGAAAGACAGAGCTCATTGTTTTTCACCCCAACAGCAGGAATGTGGATCATCATGTTGATCTTGGCCCTCTTTCTCCATACTCAAAACCAGTTGTTACCAGTTTGGGAGTGAAAATTGATGCTGGACTTACATTTGAGGCTCACATCAACTCAGTGATCCGGTCCAGTTTCTATCACCTGAGACGCCTTGCAAATATCAAGCCTATGCTGTCGAGAGCCCACCTGGAGCGGGTACTGCATGCCTTTGTTATTTCTAGGCTTGATTACGGCAACTCTCTTTATTCAGGGTTGTGTCAGTCATCACTGCGTCGCCTACAGGTTGTGCAGAACAGCGCAGCATGGTTCCTGACTGGGACCAGGAAACGGGACCACATCAGTCCGGTTCTGGCCTCCCTGCACTGGCTTCCGGTCTGCTATCGTGCACAATTCAAAATCCTCGTCTTTGTTTACAATTTCTTCCAGGGTGGTGCTCCCCCCTATCTAGCCACACACCTGAACAAACATTCCCCATCACGCGCTCTGCGCTCCTCTGACCTAGGCCTGCTCGCTGTCCCTCGTTCTAGGTGTCGTACTCGCGGGGACCGGGCGTTCTCAGTCCTAGCACCGTCACTCTGGAACCAGTTGCCACCCTCAGTTAGGCTGTCCCCATCTCTGCCAGTCTTTAAGAGTCGCCTAAAAACACACCACCTCCGCTTGGCGTTTCCTGAATATGTTCTATTCGGCCCTCTTTTACGTTGAATTTCTTTCACAGTTTCCATTGGTTCACTCTATCCCTTGTTTTACCCATCTGTCCTGTACTAGAATGTTTCACCATTTTTTTTGTAATTTGTATTTAGTAATTTAATTTGCTTTTATTTTTGAATAGCTTTTATTTTTGATTTATTCACTATATTTGTACTTCTACTGTACCATGTTCAGTGCCTTGGGCTTCCTGACAGGGTTGCGGAAGGCGCTTTATAAATAAAGCTTTGATTGATTGATTGATTGAATTCACTTGGTCTAATTTTAATCCAAAGATTAATGTTTAATTTAAGATAATTAAATTTTATAGCAAAAGTTTACTTTGAATCAGAAGCTAGGAATCTTTGCTTTTCAATAACCAGAAATATTATACCTTTTCTGTGTTTCAATTCAATAATGAGGCAAGTTTAAAAATGAAGAAATGTTATTACTAACAATTTTAAACTTAAAGATTTGAACGACAATTCATGGACAATTCAATGACAATTTTTAACAGCTTTGATATTAAACTTGTTTTAAAAGGCAAACCTGTGGCTGGATGGAAGCTAAATTGGAAATGCGAGTTTGGATGCGTGAATGGAATTCTCAGAAGGTTTCTTTCAGAGAGATGAAAAGCATTCTGGACGAAAATGATGTTTTGTGGCTACCTGAGTTGTTTACTTAGAGGAAACAGCATCACACGTCATCTGTCGATAGTGTCTACCTCACCCAGTTTCCAGAGACCCCCTTTCGGATCCGAGATGTCAAGTGGAGATGATTTCCTCCGGGCACGAGGATGGTAGAAGGACCTCGGTGCGACCAAATCAGTCCTGGGTTGTCTCCGTGGGTCACACGACTGATGAACTATTGGTGTCTCAAAGTCCGTAACTCTGAAGAAGTTTTTCGTCTTAACTCAGAAATCAATAACTCTGTAAGGAGTTTTTCATCATTTGGTTACAGTTTACGTTTATGTTTAGCTATTCTTTTCGGCGTGACAGAACAGCTTGGCAGAGGGTCTGGGCGGCCGTTCCCGTCTGCTCAGGATGATGTTGGTTCAAGAACTGACTTGAAGCTGGTGATTGTTAGTTTACAAAGCTCTCAGAACACTCCCACTCTCTCAGCAACAAAGCTTTGGTCATGCGTCAAAAACATGTGTTGGCAGTTATTGTTTAGATGAACTCTGTGTTAGATGGATAAGGTGGTAGTGACCTTCTTTGTTGAACACATTACTGTCATCAACCATAATCATAATTAATCATTATTATACCCAAAGCATAATAATTCATTTCATGTAATTAAAATATCTTTATACTGAACCAAGTGATCATTTATGATGATTATAATAAACAGTAATAAAGTGAAAGAGTTTTATTCATATTATTTAATTATTATCATCGTGAACTTGAAGTGTCCTTCTCCTGGGACGGAACAGCAGCAGATAGTGATATGTTCTTCCAGACATCATGGCTCCTTGGTTAATCTGTGGATTTAAAAGTACTGTTTGACCCAGCTTGACCCAGCTGGGTAAATGTGACCTTTGCCATAAATTAGACCTTCCGTGATGCTACAATGACAACAGAGTAGCCATGGGAGCAGTTCGCTGTGACGCGGTGACTGTTCCTAGCAAAGTGCACTAAGTGACTTAGAAGCACTTACTCAGCGCAAATCCAGACAGCGTTGGGACTGCGTTCGGCGACTTATCCTCACGGTACACATGGGAACAGTTAAGCAGCTAGCCAAAGATAGCCTGAAAATCGCTGAAGGAGCAAAGTGTAATTTCTCACGGGAAGAAAGCGAGAATGAGTAGGAAGGATTGGTTGGCCGTGGCTATACTGGGTGGACGGAGCCTGGGCATGGCACAACCAGTCTGTCAGGGACAGACGTGATGTCATTGGAGCTTCCGTAGTTGGACACACCAGGGCGATTCCCACAGTGAAACACCGAACGAAGTTAGAAAAAGAGCAGCTCCTCTAAATCCGAGACCACGGTCTTGAATCGGAAAATAGTAGAATTCCTTCTGTTCAGGAACAAGGTCCTGCCTCAAGTGGAGGAGTTTAAATATCTCGGGGTCTTGTTCACAAGTGAGGGAAAGGTGGATCTCAAGATCGATTGGTGCTGCGTCTGCAGTGATGCAGGCATTTTACTGGTCTGTTGTGGTGAAGAGAGAGCTGAGCCAGAAGGCGAAGATCTCTATTTTCCAGTCCCTCAACCATGGTCAGGAGATTTGGGAAGTGATCAAAAGAACGAGATCGTGGATACAAGTGACCGAAATATATTTTCTCCGCTTGATGACTGGACTCTCCCTTAGAGATGGGGTTAGAAGTTTGGTCATCCGGGAGGGGCTCAAAGTAGAACCGCTGCTTCTCCACATCAAGAGGAGCCAGTTGAGATGGCTCGGGTATCTGATCAGGATGCCTCCTGGTGAGGTTTTCCAGGCACGTGCAACTGGGAAGAGAGCCAATGGATGACCCTGGACAGGTTAGAGGGACTATGTCTCTCACCTGGCCAGAGGAGCTGGCCCAAGTGGCTGGGGAGATGGAAGTCTGGGCCTCTCGACTTAGGCTACTGCCCCCGCGACACGACTCCAGATAAGCGGCGGACATTATTATTACATTTGTCACAAAAGGCACTGTGGGGATAAACCAGGTTGGGTGTTAGTGATGAATATGAGAGGAATAACTGAAGATCCAGTTTACATCGAAATGCACCATGTATGATGCAATACCTTTACTAACAGCAGGCATCACCCCAGGGAAAGTAATTCATGAAGAATTTTTAGGAAAAGCACTTTTTATTCACAAACATCATAAAAATCTCAACCTATTTGTGTCAGTGGCGATGAAAATGGATACACAGCCTTTAAGGGCTGCATATTTTTGAATACTTCCTTAAATGTTTTTCTTTTACTTTGAATTTGTTGTTAGTTTTCTCTCACATTTTTACGACTCTCCACAGTGAACCTGATCTCCACTGGGCCTATGGTGGAACAACAGCCCTTCAAGGTCTCAGATGAAGGTGTTTCTGCGGGTTTGGGGAAGAGCCGAAAGCGAGTGTTTCCAGTTCCTCACACCCAACCGCCCAATCCCATATCTGAGGCCTACAGTTACTGCAACATTCCCAACCGGACCGAACAGGCTTGGGAAGGTAAGTCCTAAAAATAAACGGTCAATTTACTATTTGACTCAAAGAATAAAGGACTTGTTTGTAACCATTTCTTTAAATTATTGCCAAAAACAAAAAAACAGATTGGATAAATGATTGTATTCATATTTTTGTTGGTAAGCTGTGTAGTTGTTACAAGTCATCAGTAGTAGTCCTGTACTGTAAAGCACTTGCAATTCCTAACTTGGAAAAGCTGCTTATTTAGAAAAAAACTATCTCCAAGTTTGGGGACCAAAGCTCCAAGTGCTTCAGGGACCACTGGCACTACCGAGGCTTTGGCTTTCCAACTACGGAGAGCTATCACCACATCTATCACCGCAACCTTCTTCTGTAGTTTTTCCAACTACCACTGTGTCCAGTTGGTTAGCCATTACAAGAATTGATATTTATTTATTTCTATCCTTGTCTCCTATGTGCCCAGTTTTTCATGACGGTATTGGAACTGACTCCATTGCTATTGTTTAACACCGGCTGTATACTGTAATGAGCATGCCCTTCATTTGTTTCACAAGTTGTACAGGCCTGTTTTATGTGTATTTCAGTTTATTTAGAGTATGATGAAGATGCTGACTAATTATAATATCATTAAATTCATGCTGAATAATAGTGTTTGATGACCAGGGTTGGACATTAATCAGTTCTCTGTTAATAGGTCACAGTCCTGCCGACTACAGGTTGCTGTCTGTCCAGGTGATGATTCGTCATGGTGACCGCTATCCTCTTTACTCTATCCCAAAGACCAAGCGGCCAGCCATCGACTGCACTCTGTCTAGCAGCAGGTACAAAAACCAGTGAAAGTCTCCACTTATATATGATTTGTGTTTTCATACCAGAGCTAAATAAAAGAGTTAGGCCATTTTAAAGCCAACATGCATCTTTATTTGAGAGGTTGAAAATCCGCTCTTCCCTGTTTATCTCCCTGCAAATATATTCACCTCAGTTTATGCAAACGCTGCACATGCACACAATCTGGCCTAAAAGCCAAGATAATCTGAAAATAAGTCCATATGGTCATTGAACTGTCATTGACAAATCCTGTTTTTTAGGCCGGGTACCTGGAATCAGATTTAGCCTGCGACTTAATTGCAGCTCTGTCAGCTTTGCACATCTGGACAGAGCACAAGCTGACTAATCTGTGGAGCTGGCTCTGCATGTACACATTTGCAGACTGGTATCTTGCTGCTGATGAGGAACCTGCTTTAAATATCCTTGAACTTCAGGCTCCATCTCTAATGTTTCTCTGTTATGATTGATGTGGTTCCTTTATATTTCACTTAGAGTGTGAGCAATGCAGTTTGTGAGACTCTCGAGTCTGATGGGTGCTGAACTCCCAGGAAACAGGAATATCTATTCCATTCAGTCTGCTCTGTGTCTAACCTGTGCCTGTCTCACTGGGTGAGAAGTAGGGATCCTGGACAGGTCACAGTCCATCACACACGCACGCACGCATGCACACACACACACACACAAACACACACACAATTTAGAGTTGCCAATTAAACAATAGTTATGTTTTTTGGGTCAGAGAAAACCAAGTGTGCTCAGAGAGAATCAAATTAACTTTTCGCAGAAATGTCCCTGGTGGGTGTTGAACCTGCAAACTCGCTCACACTGTTTACAGTGCGGATGGAGAGCTGCTGACGTCAACTGGGGCTGTAGTCGGACGGTGGAAGGAATACTTTGAGGAGCTCCTCAATCCCACCTATGCGCATTTCGAGGAGGAACCAGAGCCGGGAGGCCTGGGGATGAACTGTCCAATCTTGGGGCCAGAAGTTGCTGAGGTAGTCAAACAACTACACAGCGGCGGACCACCGGGGGCGGATGAGATTTGTCCTGGGTATCTCAAGGCTATGGATGTTGTAGGGCTGTCGTGGTTGACACATCTCTGCAACATTGCGTGGTCATCAGGGGCAGTTCCTGTGGAGTGGCAGACCGGGGTGGTGGTCCCCATCTTTAAGAAGGGTGACCTGAGGGTGTGTTCCAACTATAGGGGGATCACACTCCTCAGCCTCCCTGGAAAGGTCTAGTCCAAGGTACTGGAGCGGAGGGTCTGATCGATAGTTGAATCTCAGATTGAGGAGGAGCAATGTGGTTTTCGTCCTGGCCGTGGAACTGTGGACCAGCTCTATACCCTTGCAAGGGTGATGGAGGGGGCATGGGAGTTTGGCCAACCAATCCACATGTGTTTTGTAGATTTGGAGAAGGCTTATGACCGTGTCCCCAGGGGCACCCTGTGGGGGACGCTCCAGGAGTATGGGGTGGGTGGCTTTCTGTTAAGGGCCATTCAGTCCCTTTACCAGAGGAGCGTGAGTTTAAACCGCATAGCCGGTAGTAAGTCGGACCTGTTCCCGGTGAGGGTTGGACTCCGCCAGGGCTGCCCTTTGTCACCGGTTCTGTTCATTACCTTTATGGACAGAATTTCTAGGTGCAGCCGTGGTGTGGAGTGTGTCGAGTTTGGTGGCAGGAGAATCTCGTCTCTGCTTTTTGCGGATGATGTGGTCCTCCTAGCTTCATCCAGCTCTGACCTTCAGCTCTTGCTGGGTAGGTTCACGGCCGAGTGTGAAGCGGCTGGGATGAGGATCAGCACCTCCAAATCTGAGACCATGGTTCTCGACCGGAAAAGGGTGACTTGCCAACTCCGGGCCGGGGGAGAGGTCCTACCTCAAGTGGAGGAGTTTAAGTATCTCGGGGTCTTGTTCACGAGTGAGGGTAGGAGGGATCGGGAGATCGACAGGCGGATTGGTTCAGCGTCTGCAGTGATGCGGACGCTGAGCCGATTTGTCGTGGGGAAGAGGGAGCTGAGCCAGAAAGCCAGGCTCTCGATTTACCGGTTGATCTACGTCCCAATCCTCACCTATGGTCATGAGCTTTGGGTAATGACCGAAAGAACGAGATCGCGGATACAAGCGGCCGAAATGAGTTTCCTCCGTAGGGTGGCCGGGCTCAGCCTTAGAGTTAGGGTGAGGAGCTCGGACATTCGGGAGGGACTCGGAGTAGAACCGCTGCTCCTCCGGATCGAAAGGAGTCAGTTGAGGTGGTTTGTGTTTCTGGTCAGGATGCCTCCTGGACGCCTCCCTGGGGAGGTGTTTCGGGCATGTCCTGCCGGCAGGAGGCCCCCGGGTCGACCCAGGACACGTTGGAGAGGTTACATCTCCAATCTGGTCCGGGAACGCCTTGGGGTCCTGCTGGAGGAGCTGGTGGACAAGGCCGGGGAGAGGACGGTCTGGAGCTCCCTAGTTGGGATGCTGCCCCCGCGACCCGGACCCGGATAAGCGGAGGAAGACGACGACAACAAATCTAATGTTCATCAGTACATTACAGACAATAATGAACTTTATCACAATACCGGTATGCTAATTTTTTGAACTGAAGGTCACAAAATATTTTGTATTAAACTGTAATCTTCAGTCCTCCCTAATCTAGTAGATTGTGCTTTTTGTTTCCTTGAGCCTGTCGAGTGAGTGAGTGAGTGAGTGAATGAGTGAGTGAGTGACACTATTATCTTTTCATGTTTCATGGTCTCTGGTTTTATACTGGTATAAGCTGGTTTGGTACCACCCAGATGTGTTGAACAGAAGAGAACAGAGATCCCTGGTGGCAGATTTAGGAGATGTTCATATATCTGACTGTCCTGTTAAAACTAGTCGTTTTTGTCAGGATTCAATCCTTGTTGAATTTTTAAAAAGACACTAACCAACACCAGGTGGAATATTCACCTTGTTTGCTTTCCAAAGCAAAATAGCAATCTTGGGTTGAAATTATATGGCTGCATTTATTCATTAAACCAGAATGGTTACATTAACTTATGTTTTACATGTTGAATCACATCTAATCACTTCCTGTGGTTGTTGCACACCATCCTCAGACCACCGTCCCACCCACTGCTGAACTCCTTCATTAACCACATGGGCCAAGGGGGCCGCGGCCGCTGGGAGCCACCGTTGGGTTCCGTGTCTCGTCTCCCCAGTCATAGCGCATGTGAAATTGGAGAACTCACACAGATAGGTATCATAACCAAACTACTGTCTGTCATAAATAAATGCTACAGTTTAGTTTCAGGCATGTGTTTAATGACCTCACATGTTATCTAATATTCATTAAAACAATAAGTAAACAAACTCTGGGCTTTGTTCTATGCAGGTGTGGTGCAGCACCTTCGCAATGGGCAGCTCCTCCACCATGCCTACAAGCAGCACAGCCTCCTCCCCGCTGATTTGTTGCCTCAGCAGGTTTGGGTAGAGACAACAGGGAAAAGCCGCACTCTCCAGAGTGGACTGGCGTTCCTCTACGGCTTCCTGCCAGACTTTGATTGGACCAAGATGACGATTCATCATCAGTGGAGCACGTTGTTTTGTGGCTCATCATGCGACTGCCCAGCCAGGAACAGCTACCTAGAGGATGACCAGAGAAGGCAGTACCGGCTCAGAGTGGCTAACACCAACCTAGACAGGACTTATGCTGACATGGCACACACTTTAGGTCTTCCCACTCGTCAGCTCAGAGCTGCGAACCCTATAGACTCTCTGCTGTGCCACTTCTGTCATGGCCTTCCCTTCCCATGTGTTCCCTCTGGAAATGGTGGTACTGGCGGATGCCTGACTCTAGCACAGTTTGCTGTCATTCGTCAACAGCAGCTTGATGATGAGGTGGATCGGAGAAAAGCGGGGCTCTACCGTAAATATGCCATTCTAGCCATGTACCCCTACCTCAATCGAACTGCTCTCAAGATGGAACGGGTTGCTAAGGCTAGTGAGACGAGCACGCGGCCCCGTGTGGGGGGTGAGGAGATCTTTACCCTATCCTCAGCTCATGATGTCACTATGGCCCCGTTGCTAAGTGCCCTTGGACTAGAAGATGCTAAGTTTCCACGATTTGCAGCAAGAATAGTGTTTGAATTGTGGAAGAGTCCCAGCGCCTCCCAAGGTCAAGCGAAAAGGAAAGCGGGGAAAGGGCAGAAGTCCAGTTTAAAAGACAGGGGTGTGTTCATCAGGGTGCTGTACAACGGGGAGGATGTGACCTTTCACACAGCCTTCTGTCTTTCCCAGGACCGTCACATCAGCCAACCACTCTGTCCTCTGAACAACTTTCTGAATTTTGTCAGAAGAGACATGTTCAGCATTGTTAACGCCACTTCCTACAAGGAGGCCTGCTACCGGCCGTTCGGCTGACCAAAGGACAGCACGTCATCTGTTTCAATATTAGCTCTTTCGCTGCTCATCATGTTCTAAATGTTCTAAAACTAGTTCGTTACATTCCAAAAAGCACAGATGACTCAGTTTTATTCTTGAAATGGACAAAAGATTTTGGTGAGCAACACATCTGGAGTCTTTGGAAGTCTTAGGTTTTACTAAAACAACACTTAGCCACTTTATACTGTAACAGAATAGAGTTGTGAAATTTATTGTTTACCAAATAACTTCTTACAATTAAAGCAGAGAAATGCTGAAATAATCACCAATTAGAAATATTTTGTCTGTAAAATATTTTAATTAAAAGGAGCACTGTGCTATCTTCCGGCTCTTGGAGAGTTCAGACGCTTTTTTCCTCCTCTCCTCCCTATCTTATCCCAAGGCTCTTTGTCTGTCTTTGAGTGTACGGCGCTTCTGAATTTTTTCTGGAAACTGGAAATTATTAAAATGGACCTGGTCAGTTGGTCACTTAACACGATTGACCAGTGACGACATGTTTAGCCGCATGCTGTCCTTCAACCGCTGGCTGTCTAGGTGGTGTCCTGAAAACAACGTGGGCTACATTGATATTGACATTGACATTGATTGACGTCACTTCTCCCGGCATGCAACAGTTCAAATCGAAACGGCGCCATATTGGCATGCAGAAGCCCGCAGCTGGACTATTAGTTATTGTCAGAAAACTCAATCAAACGGGAAATATGGTAGATTCCTGTTGTGCCCCAGGATGCAGAACAGAGGCGGACGACATAAGGAATGAGCCATCTACAGGATTCCCCAAGATCCGGAGCGCCGCAAACATTGGATCATTGTAATAAAACGCGCTAGTGACCGGGCTAAAATGAAGCTGTGGGACCCCGAGAGTAAAGGTTTTGGCTTATGCAGCGACCGCTTCATATCAGGTACTTAAACCAACGTTTCCTCAACTGTGTATGGTGTTTATTTTAAATGCTTTTATTACGATTCTTAGTGGGCTTCCTAAACTTATTTTGGCGTGGCTTTTTCTGTCTTATTACTCACAGCAACAAGTAAACATCACGTAAAACGTTGCCTCGTGAGTTCTGCGTGCTGCCGTTTACGTGTTTTATGATCACAGCAATTAACCGGCTAAGCTGTATTTAATTTTTAAGCAATGGTTGATCAGTTGTCAGATCACACACCGAGACTACTTACGTGAAAATCTGTTATTTGTCCGTCCATCCATCCATTTTCATCCGCGTATCCGGAGTCGGGTTGCGGGGGCAGTAGCGTGACTTCCCTCTCCCCAGCTGCCGGAGCCAGCTCCTCCGGGTAAATCCCAAGGGGTTCCCCGGTCGGTCCGGTGTTGTGCCGGTAAGAAGTCCGCTCCAACAGCTTCTGGCGTTTTTAAAAAGTATCCCAGGGGCACGGTAAGGGTCGGAGATGTTTAGTCTATTTAATTTCTGACTATATAAAACGATTTCTTCTGTTTTAAAGTGTGAAGTAAACTCCAACGAAGTAAAATCCAAGCGGATCCCGTTCATGTTCATGGTTACATCCGTGTTTGTTTACCTTTTTTTGCATGCCAAAATGGCGTCCACTAACTGAGAGTCACGTGGGGTCCGGAGCTCTATTGGAAAACTTTTTGGGGAAAACCTGGTCTGATGCGGAGAGACGGCATCCATCCCTCTTTGGGTGGAGCAGCTCTTCTTTCTAGGAATATGGCCAGATTTATTAGTCCTCCATGACAACCCAGGGTCCAGACCAGGAAGCAGAGTCGTAGTTTAACCCACCCCTCTGCAGCTTCTGTACTGTTACCCACCCACTACCCCATAGAGACAGTGTCCTGCCCACGGCCAAAACCACACAGATTAAATATCAGGCTTAATAAAGCAAATCATGGAAATCTCATAAATATTAGAACAAATTCAACTGAGCAGAAAACTAGAAAAATTAAATGTGGGTTGTTGAACATTAGATCCATTTTTTCTAAGACTTTGTTAGTTAATGACTTGATTTGTGATCATCAGATCTCTTTGCTCTCTCTCACAGAATCCTGGCTGCAGCAAGAGGACTATGTTAGCTTAAACGAGTCGACTCCTTCAAATTATTTAAATCATCATATTGCTCGAAGTACAGGGCGAGGAGGAGGAGTAGCAACCATTTTTCATTCGGACTTATTAATCAGTCCCTTACAGATTAATAGCTACAGTTTGTTTGAACATCTTATTCTTAGTTTTCCTAATCCAGATTGCAAAACTGTAAAACCACTCTTGTTTGTAGTTTTGTATCGTCCACCAGGCCCTTACTCTGAGTTTTTGCATCAGATCTCTGATTTTTTATCTGATTTGGTGCTAAATACTGATAAGGTCATTGTAGTGGGGGATTTTAATATTCATGTCAATCAATCAATCAAATTTATTTATAAAGCGCTTTTCAAACAAAGTGCTTTACAAAATGACCCCAGATTCCCTCAACAGGTTAAAAACATTAACAGACATATGCAAGCACACACACACACACACACACACACACACACACACACACACACACACACACACACACACACACACACACACACACACCAAGTAAATTTTCAATGGTTACATTGTGATTTCTTAGTAAATATTCTATTTACTAATTTAAATCCCAAAGTCAGTATCTCAGAAAAGGAATTTTAGAAATGCTGGCCAACTGAAGAGTATGAGAAAATACAGCATTCAATATTTAGTTGGGTCTTCTTTGGCCTGGATTACTGCAGCAATGCTGCATGGCATGGAGTCCATCAGCCTGTGGCACTGCTCAGGTGTTATAAGAGCCCGTGTTGCTCTGATAGTGGCCTTCAGCTCTTCTGAGTTGTTGGGTCTGGTTGTATTGTAACTTCCTCTTCACCATAGCCCACAGATGTTCTATGGAATAAGGTCAGGACAGTTTGCTGGCCAATCAAGACTAGCAATACCATGGTCCTTAACCCAGTTACTGGTAGCTTTGGCACTGTGCGCAGGTGCCAAGTCCTGTTGGAAAATGAAAGCATCTCCATATAGTTGGCCAGCAGCAGCAAGCATGAAGTGCTCTAAAACTTCCTGGTAGAGGGAAATGTGCTCGGCCACAGACACCTGTCTCTTTAGCAATGACCTTTTGTGTCTTGCCCACTTGGTCGTCTTCCCCATGAAGCAACTAGACCAAGAGACAATATAAAGGCTTATGCAGGTGTTTTGAGTTAATTAGCTGATTAGAGTGGGGAACCAAGGGTCCTCAATATTGAACCGTTTCACAATATTCTGAGATACAGAATTTGGGATTTTCATTAATTTTTCAATGTAATAATCAAAATGGGGGTGAAATGTGTGTAATGAATCGAACAAGTTTCACTTTTTGAATGGAATTACTGAACTAAATCAACTTTGTTATATTTTAATTCTATGACCAGCACACATATACACTCACTGGCCACTTTATTGGGTACACCTGTCCAACTGCTCATTAATACAAATGATTAATCAGCCAATGGTGGCAACTCGATGCATTTGGGCATGTTGACATGGTTGAGACGATCTGCTGCTGTTCAAACCGAGCTTCAGAATGGGGAAGACAGGTAATTAAAGTGACTTTGAACGTGGCATGGTTTTTGGTGCCAGACAGGCTGGTCTGAGTGTTTCAGAAACTGCTGACACACAGCCATCTCTAGGGTTTACAGACAATGGTCCTAAAGAGGGGAAACATCCAGTGAGCAGCAGTTATGTGGGGGGAATGCCTTTTTGAGACCAGAGGTCAGAGGAGAACGGTCAGACTGGTGTGAGCTGATAGAAATGCAACAGTAACTCAAATAGCCACTCGTTACAACCAAGGTAGACAGAAGAGCGTCTCCGAACACACAACACATCAAACCTTGAGGCAGATGGGCTACAGCAGCAGAAGACCGCACCAGGATCCACTCCTGTCAACTAAGAACAGGAAACTGAGGCTACAATTCACATCGGCTCATCAAAATTGGACGATAGAACATTGGGAAAATGTTGCCTGGCCTGGTGAGTCTTGATTTCTGCTGCGACATTCAGATGGTCGGGTCAGAATTTGGTGTCAACAACATGAAAACATGGATCCATCCTGCCCTGCATCAATGTTCAGACTGGTGGTGGTGGTGGTGTAAGGGTGTGGGGGACATTTTCTCGGCACACTTTAGGACCCTTAGCACTAATTGATCATCGTAGCAACGCCACAGCCTAGCCGAGTATTGTTGCTGACCATGTCCATCCCTTTATGACCACAGTGTACCATCTTCTGATGGCTACTTCCAGCAGGATAATGCTCCACGTCATAAAGCTGGAATCATCTCAGACTGGTTACTTGAACACAACAATCAGTTCACTGTACTCCGATGTTCTCCACAGTCACCAGATCTCAATCCAACAGAGCAGCTTTGGGATGTGGAGAAACGGGAGACTCGCATCATGGATCTGCAGCAATTGTGTGATGCCATCTTGTCACCATGAGCCAAAATCTCTGAGGAATGTTTCCAGTACCTCGTTGAATCGTTGCCACGATGGGTTAAGGCAGTTCTGAAGGCAAGAGGGGGTTCAACCTGGTACTAGCAAGGTGTACCCAATAAAGTGGCCAGTGAGTCTTTTATATATACAGTACAGGCCAAATGTTTGGACACACCTCATTTAATGTGTTGTGTACATTGAACCAGTTCATTCTGCAGCTTTAAACATACATGAAACCATCTAAAGTTAACATGTAAGTCCTGAAAGCTTCTAGAATAAACTAAATTAAAGCTGCATGCAGCGTCTTTCGGCCCTCGCAGCTTCGCGCCGCTCCGGCCTGGCCGGCAGCCCGGGGCACCCGGCCACGTCCGCAGAACATAAACATCGACCACCCCGACACCAGAAACCACGAACAGTCTCCTCGTCCGCACCTCACCCTGACTCAGCATCCCCTCTGAGCCCACCATTAAATTACACATCTCACTACTCCACGGTTGGTGTTGGTACATAAAACTCACGACTGGCTTTTGTTTCTCCAAGTCAGACCTGGTGGCTGGGTTAGGGTTAACCCTAATCAGAACAAATCATTCAACAGTCCGAGTGTTAAAGTGACTATGTGTAGTTTTAACCATTAATCTCTGGAAATGTCAATTGAAATGTTGTTGAAATAAAACTGGCAGCTTCGTAACATATAACCATAAAATTCACTTGTAAAATGCATGGGAGCGGGTCTAAGGATGTGTCCAAATCCAGGGGCAGGATGCTTGTGAGGTCCGGTCCTTGCTCGACCTATAAAACTTCACCTCTACGGTGGCCTGTAGGTCCTGGCGTGGCGGCAGCTACACGCAAAGGAAAAATGCTAAAACTAGGGGAAATCGAGCATG